ACAGTCACTTGCACTTTCTAATTTAAAGCTAAATGTGACGTCAATTTCTTGTAAATGTATTCATACCAATGCATCCATTGCCTCCTCAATGACATCTTTGATTTTTATATGATGCAATTTGTAGCTGTCACACAGTTCTTTCACAATTGTTGTCTTTCCAGAAGCTGGGGGCCCCAGGACGCATGCTCTCATAGGCTGAAGTTAAAAGATTAGAAATGATTAAATAAAATTGAAAATACTCAGCATAGGTATAATACAGTAATTTTACAAGTTTTTGAAATCTCTTGCAATTCCTGTAGATGAAAATTATTTTTTCTTTAATGACTGCATATGTTATAAATACATTTTTTAATTTTCTTACCATTAATCCTCTACTCTCTTTGTACTCCTTGATTACTGGGATGACATTTTCCATCAAACCAGTCTCTGCTACCCAGCGAATTCTCATGTTCTCTTTCACATAAACAGCATCCATGCGAAGGTTCACCAATAGCATGTCGAAGTCTGCTTGCTGCAAAATAAATTCAAAAACTTTTTTTATGATGGAAACATTCAGAAGTCAATGATCTCTGTATTCATATCTTCTTTATCCAGGGTTGTATGAGATTCATTACTTATTTAAATTTTAATTTTAAAATTTTTAAGTTTAAAAAAAAACTCAATATACAGGTTGACGGATATCTGGTTAGTTAATGCTGCTTTCATTCATTGACAATGTAATCAAAATGAGATTTTGAATGATTACACTGATAAGAATACTACAGCAAGTCCCATTTCTTTGAAGTGATATTTAATTTATCTAAAAAAATTATATAAATATAAATTACTGACAAATACAATCTGAGATGAAATTATATATATATCAAATTACCTCAATATCTTTGCTGAGAAGAGCCTCTTCTTTACTAATGTGCTTGATTTTTCCAGTTCCCAAGTTAATGCTGACAGCCTGAAACAAAGAGTTGCATGCATTTTTAAACAAAATTATAATTTCTAAAACAAAAAATCACAGTTAATATGATTATTTTTCATCATATATTTAGCATGATTTCACATTTCATCTTTCAAAAAATACCACAAATGATACACATAATTATAAACCAAAATTAGCCATTATTGAAAATTTTATAAACATTATTTGCAGATTCTTTGATGTTATATATCTTTTTTAAACTAACTGGTGGGTCATAAGAGATCACATATCTTTGTAAAAAGAATAATACCTACTTTAACAATTTCTTCCAGTGTGGTTTGAGAATCATCCACAGCAACAATATATCGCACTTTCGGGCGGCTATCAACAACATTCTGGATAACACTGCAAAGAAAGTGAAATGAGCACATGAATAATATTTTATGCTATTATTTTTCAAAAAAATAAATACATCGATTCCAAAAGCTTGTATAAAATGGTTTTTGTAAAAAAAAAAAAAGAAATCATGACATCAACTGTTTGTAAAGCAACACAATCTTTCTGGATAAGATTAGCATTCACTACTGAAATTTCTACGTATGGATAACTAGATAATTTGATCATTTTTACACACTTTTTATGATAATAATTCATAAAAAATTACAACCAAGAGCTTCAAGTTTTACATCTACTGCTGTAAATACTAAAATATTTTGAAAGACGATGAGTATGAGTATGAGAATCAATTAAAATTATTACGTTATATTATATTATATTATATTATATTATATTATATTATATTATATTATATTATATTATATTATATTATATTATATTATATTATAACTGTGGTTAAAATACTCAAATCTGAAAGTATATGATAAAGTATTTCCAAGTACTGACCCAGCCAGATCTTTGATGTGTATAGTAGGCACGACATTTCCTCCTGGTCCAAAGCACTGGAGTTGTGATGCATTATGCCAGGCAGCCTTATGAGGAGAAAAAAATCTTTCTCAATTTTCAACAAGACAAATTAATTGTGATTCAAAATAATTAAATGATATTAAGGTTTCCGCAATTAAAATTATGTGCAGTGATGACTCTAAGTTGCTTTGATTGCATGTTTTCTTTATGAAGCAAAAAGTTAAAAAAAAAAAACAATACAAAGCTTGTGCCAGAATTGTTGATATTATTAAAGGCAAAATAGTAAGTACATAAGAAGATAATAGAGTTACAGAGCAGAGCAGTAAGAAAGACAAAAATAGACTAGTAATAGTAACAGTGAGAGAAAAAGATGAAACCTCAACAAATAAAAAAAACAGTCTACATTTTACTAATTTTAAGAGATATATGTGAAATTTTTATTAAAGAATAGCATATCGTACCATTAAAAAATCCTCAAGCAAGAATACTTTTACCCACCTTGAAAAGATAATGGAAAATATTTTCTCCTCCTCCATATGTCAGACCAGAAGCAACAACATATGTCACAAGTTTTTGTTTGTTCTGAAACAAAAGTTTTAACATTTAAGAATGCTTTAATTTGCATACAAAAAGAAGGCAAAAATTATAACAGGCCATTATACTTTATCTGATGTTTCACCTACTGAAGTCCTTTCAAAAGCCAGTCTTTATTACATATATTTTCTTATATCATAATTTACCAATCTATTTATAACACTACACTTATTTTCAGAAAATATTTTCATGGCTGATTTACAAGGATGATTTGGATTCACTTGTCCTGACTTCAAATGTGTAGTAGGTAAATCCTAGTTTGGTTTAACTTAACTTCATATTGTGGGCATGTCATATGTGGCTACCATTAGGTTTTATCCAGTGAAATTAAAAATGAAGTTAAAACTGAAATATGAAATTGGTCCTTACTGTTTTGCCAAGTTTGATGACAGTTTTCTCAGCACTAATGTGCTCTTTAAAGTTGGGGTGTGGTTTTCTCCGCCTGTAGTCATCTTCTGTAAAAGGTATCTCTGGATCATCCTGAAAGTAGGAAAAAAAAACTTGAAAGTTTATATGCAGCAAAGCAGTCCTTGTATTGCAACTAAAATTCATTTGTGAACATCCCTTTAATTCATACTGATCTTTGTTTAAGAAAAGACCATATCTGATCTCAGCTTAGACTTCTAATCCAATAATATCTAAAATATCCGTATACTTAAACTAGCACTACTTACAGGGTCCAGAGGTTTGCTTCTTGCCCATGTCATCACAGTTGATATCAGCAAAAACAGTATTTGTTTATCTATCTTTTCTAGGTCAGAATGTATTTCTGAAAAATGAAAATATAATTTGATATCTAATTATTTTAAATAATTTGGAAAATTGATGGGTAAATACAAGATCTTTTACCATATATTTCACATTGCTACTAACAAAAGAACCTTTTACTTGAAAATGTATTTTTAAATCAGTTATGTAGCCATAATTGTGGCTGCTCAAGTCAGTTCAAAACAGTAACATAAAACAGCAAGGGCCTTACCAGACACAGCCCATGTAGCCTCATCAATCTGATCTGGGTCTTCTGTGATGTCATAAACAATGATGTCACATTCAACTAAATGTTCATACAGCTGCTCCTTAGTTTCATACTACAATGAAAAAGTAAAAAAGCAAAATATAACATTTGTTTACTGTCATCAAATGCTACAATTAACTATGCCAAATAATGCACACTTTTATCTTAATAAACAAAATGTTGAATTTTAATTTAAAATACATATACAAGCAAAAAAGCATTGTAAAGATATCTGTTTTTCATCACTAAAACTGCTGGTACTTACGTAAATAATTTCTTTCACAAAATCTGGCTTTTTAGCTTCCTTGTTCTTGAGTGTTCCAATGATTTCATAACAGCCCTCCTTGGGTCTTGCCAGAGTAGCACTGTCCACTGACCTGGCATCTTCTTCCTCCTCTTCCATTTCCTCCAAAGATGCTCCCACCACGCAACTGCTGAGGAACTGAAATTTAAAAAAAAATCATGTGCTGCATTAAGCTGAGGCCTTTCTTTAAGGTAATTTTTGCCTAGTAAGTTACCATTACAAAGTATAAAAAGATTTCATTACATTAGAAAGACCATGAGCCTTTGTCAGATGTCATGATATTAAATGCATGAGGTTCAGGTTTAGACCTACTAGTATTAGCCCGCTTTTAATGTAAAAACAAGTGTTACTTGCAACTGAATAATGAACTATGATTGCATTACTCAGAGATAAAAGATGGGTCATTGGCTAACAAGTACATAATCATTGTTATGAAGCACAAATCATCAATTGCATGTATAAGATATGATTAAAGTGACCTCCACAGGATTTGCCCACCAAAATGAATTTTCTGCTAGTCACAAACCATTGCTCAACTCATCCTACTGCTCTGGGATTCGAAGTCTTATTCCATTTTAGAATTTAATTTAATTACTTGGTTCTAAATAACTGGCCAGTCATTTATAATAACATAGCCTTCCAAACCTTCACCTTCATGACCTCATTTTCACACAAGGAATGGTGTGGTGTTTTGTATTGCTTCCCTGTTACATGTACAATACAGACCTTGTAAGATGCCAAGGCTACCTGAGAAGGCTGAGAAGATAATAACAAAACTAGGTGTCCTTCAGACAAACTTTTATTTAAAGGGTTTTGTCATCTTTAAGATCTAAATTAGGGAAATAAAAGAAGCTTTGCAGGAAATAAATATGACTATGGGGGGTTTTCCAATGCGTGGAATGTTTGCATCTAAATTTTTCTAAAATTTCTGTTGTGTAGAAGAAGAATCAATCTTTTTAGCAACTATCAATGCAATCGGTTAATGCACCGAGGCCTATATATTAAATAAAAAACAAAAATACAATAAATATAATATCCATATTATTTTCAAGGAGTTTAGTAAGGAAAAAAANCATTTCGTACCCATCTTTTGGCTAAAAAGCACATACAGTAGACACTGCACGTCTTGCCAACTTATATCTCATCTCTAGCCGTTCATGTTTGAAATGAAATTGAATTGAATCAAATTTCCCGGTGTGTCTCCGTTCACTGTACAATCTGACGTAATACCACTTTCTGTTGTAGTTGTAGACTGGGTGAAAGCGCCGAGGAAACAGAAGAACACGGGAACAGGTCAGTAACAGATTAATTAATTAATGAGTGGGTGGGTGTGTGAGTGAGAGAGTGAATGAGTGAATGAACGAACGAATGAACAACAAACAAGCAAACAAATAAATAAATAAACATTTACGGGTCACACTTACAGTGAACTTTCTTCATCTACACTATTTGACATTTTAACTTAATTTAATTTATTTAAAATTATCAAAATTAAATTAGATTACATTATATACTTGTAGGGCTCTCGTGGCTTGTGCCGACCATGGAGGACGAGCAGGAACCGGGTAGGCCTATTTCTTTTAAAACTTTATGAAATTAAAAATAAAAATAGGTAGTTACTAGTACTTAAATTGTATTTATACCCTCAGTCTCAAATTTCCGGGAAAACAAAGAGATGTCTGTGTGTTGCATTCTTACAGCAGAATATTTGAAAACTTTGTTGGTGTTGGCGTGAAAATGGGAACCAGGTAGTGATATGTTTGTGCTTTTTTATAAGATGATAAAATGAAAGAGATGGCGGTCGGGAGATGTACCATATTACTAAGGGAGGTGGTGTTGGGAGAGGCATGTGGATAAAGAATTGTTTCGTTTCCTTTTGGCACGATTTTTGTGTGAAATAAAGAATAAAAATATTTCTAAAAACGAAGCTGTAGGGTAGGAGTAGGGAAGGGGTATCCTCATAGCCGCCAACCTGGCTTCCCCATTGGGTGGATTTAAACCAATAGGATTTTGCGTTATATTTCAGAAGAGGAGCCTTGCAGTACGTCCGTGACGGGAGACGAAGAGCCCCTTCTCTGCCCTCACGGCTATGTGTGTCACATTGTGGAGGCTGGAAGCCCAGACAAAGGGGTGCCCAACAGTGGAGTGTGTAAAAAAATTGACAGAAAAGGTAAGTTCGATTGTGAGGCATGTTATCCTCTGTCACAGATACCACACTGGTGCTTGCACTTCGGCGTTGAGATTAAGGCGGAGTGAACTTTGAACCGAACAGGTGGTCTTCATATAAATTCTATTTCAAAATGTCTAATATGGCATTCAAAACTTAAGATTACAAAACGAGCCAAAAATCCGCTTACCGCCTTTTTCTTCTGTCTTTGAACTGTGCCTCAATAGAAAAGTGCCACTGCTTGGCATTGACACTTACATTCAGCTATGACATCTAATGCGGGCTAATGGTTGGTATAACTTTTTTACATTATAATACCAAGTAAAATAAAATACCAAGTCGGCTCTTTGAAGTAGGCCACTGGTTGTAGCCGTCTAAATTTTCGACTTCTGTGAACGTGTCCTTGCCTTACGAGATGTATCCTTAGTAATGGTCAGTTCCCTTCCAGACCGACCAACCTCTAATCACCACCACCACCGTGGACACGGAAAGTGCAGTATTAACGGGGACAATTATCACCACGGCGATTCCTTCTTCTACCAAACGTATAAATGGTAACTGACAATTTTTAATTTAATTTTTTTTATTTTGTTGTATTTTTATTTATTTATTTATCTACAATAGCACATAATATGTCCACAGGTTATAAACATTTATATTACACTTGCTCCCAGCTGATTTTTTAAATATCTAGTCTGCATTTATTCACAGAACTTTAGGTTCCGATTCGTGTTCATATGTGGGCCATTTTCAACCCAACATATGTTCACGTTAATTGATAAGCCGGGGCTATTACGCGTCAAGCCTCACTCTTAGGTTACTATAGCAAAAAGAAACCGATGTCCGCAGAGGCAATATAGAAAAAAAAGGTTTATGAATACATACTACATGTAAGCCAAAATCAGTTAAGTTATATCATATATGGAGATTTTAATATATCGTTTCAGTACGTGTCGCCATGGAAGAATTCAGTGCGAGGAACAGAAATAAAGTATCGGAAAAGACGTCACTCTTGCCCACCAAGCTATCACATTGGTTTTAACGCGTGGTGAGCGGACTTTGAAAAACTTGAAGCAAACGTTACTTGTCCAGAGGAAACGAAAAATATTTATTGAAGTGATTTTTTTTGACTGATTGATACTCATACAAATCAGTATATATAGGTTGTTGTTCATTTAAAGTAGATTTTATATATTAAAACACCCATGACGGCACCAAGATAAACCGTTACAAGGTACCTGTGAATACGCCTTCTGCGAAACCCAGGATAATGAGCACAATTGTGTTAGTTGTGAATCTGGGTGAGATGCAAAGCAATCCGACCTTCATTTCCGTCTATCTTATGTTATTTTAATTAAAATACTCATTCAAAGTTTACGTTGTTCGTGTGATTTTAATCAATTATACCAAGAAGAACTAAATGATCGCAGGAGATGATGTTTGCCGTTATATCTGAATTCAGTATCTTTCATTGGCCTTAATTTGTGAATTTCTCAATTTTTCACTGGCTTAATGAGAGTATTCCGGTGTAACGTGACAGAGAGTCACCCATGATAGAGTCCGCTTCCCATTCATTTGTATAGGTAAACCTCGCTCTAGATTTTGGCCCAATTAGGTCAGGCTAACCCTAACCATTATAACTCAATGGAGGTCGGACTTTCTGTTACACGGACCCTCAGTTTCGTTACACCGGACATCAGAAGGAAAGCTCTACAAGGGACACAGCAACTCCTGCGCAGTGGGATGACTGGAAGTGCAGTATGCGAGGGCCAAGATACCCTACTAGAGTTCTGACGTTCTTATCCTCTTTATCCTCAGATTATCTTGTTGCATAATGACGTCGCGGTTGGCACGATGGCACATTTCGCCAAATTTCTTTCTTAAGAGGCCCTGTCTGAATGGTGGTTTACATATGCCAAGACGTCTATACCACTTTTCATTTCTGGACGTTTTCATTTTGGAAACTTGGGGCCTAAAAACGTTATCTTTGTGTGGACTATACCTTCATTTGTATCAAAACCTGCCAAATAATTCACAAACAAATGCATTTCTTTTTATTACAAACCCTATGTATACTTTATTTCATGTACTTAAAGAATAAAAGGTGATGAATTAATGCCAAGAAATGAACATGGCATTTCGTTTAGAGTTACTGAATGCATTAAATTGATGCGCATCGCGGAAAACTTTGTGGATTATATATAACATCAATCAATAACAATGTTTGGTATTCCATTATGATAGGCTGTTTTTGAAATCAATTATATACCAAATTAAGTAAAACTTATTCAGGTTTCTCACACGTCTCTTCCAAATTGGGAGTTCTCTGTTAGTCCATAAATGTCAAAGGAATGTCGAACATTTGTTTGCTTCTCTTCAAAGGCGCAACTTTTCAAGAGCTGTTTCCCGTAATCTCACGAGAGAGAAGGTAAGAAAACATGGATTTTATCAAATTAAAGGGGTTAAATACTCCCAAGATTTACCATTTTCTACATGCTAGTATTAAAACCAATGGCTCGGCGAAACTGAAGTGTGTGTTTCAAAGATTCCAGAACTGCAGGAACCCGCCAGAAGGCACATAGCCCTTGTCTAAAATATTTAGTTTCATAGTTCTCCAACTCCAAACCCAGTGTATTATGTCGAGATTAACCCGAATCTGTACAAACGATGAGGAGTAGGGTGAAGAACCCATCTCTCAGAGGAAAATAGGGGAGCCATAATCTGATATCGGCACCGACTGCTTAGGCTGACTTTTGTGAAAAAGAGGCGTGTTTTGGTTGTCACCTGTCTTGGCTTGTCGAAACCTGAAATAATGAAAAGACTTGAATGCAATCAGGTAGGATATTTCATTAAATTGTGCTATGGGCTCAAAGATGCAATATTAGGTCTTTCAAAATAGCAACAGAGAGAGGGTTGGAAGGGGGCGGAGCCGACTGCATTTAGGCTTTAATTAATACAATAATTAATAAAGTGATTATTAAAAGAATTACAGATTTCATACTCACTTCCGCACTATATATACACCAAAAAGTATCACCACAGCCACAAGCAGGATACTAGCAATGGTGAATCCGGCCACAGAAAAGAAATGCGTCAGATGTGGCAATAGTGGCGCTACAGTACTTTCACTTTGAGCTCTGTCGTCAGAGCCGCTCCTGCCAGCGCTGCCGTCATGGACCTCGGGTGTGGTAGTGGTAGTAGTAGGCTCCATGGTCAGTGCCATTTCTGTGACGTTTGACCCACCGTGGTAGATACCCCCACTGGTGTCTAGGGAACCCTCACCAACTTAAAAAAATATAATAAAATAAAGTAATTATTTTTGGAAAAATAAGTCATTATCAGGCCTTATCAACGGATTAGGCGTTTACTAACACTACCCGCCAGATCTTCTTTAGCACTAACGTCCATATTAACCACAAAACCCACGAATAATTCAACACGCCGCACAATTATTTAGCACCAACAAAGCCACACCTATTAGTAACATTCATCCACTCTGGTAATGCTGGTTAATTTGTGGGTTTGATGGTTAATATCGATGTTAGTGCTAAAAGACCTGCGGGTAGTGGTAATAAACGCCTAATCCGTTTTAAAGGCCTTATTATATGATGTCACGAATAACACCTCTCATTAAGTTCAAAGCATGGTACACGTGAAGCTTCTACTGGTGCAGAATGATGGGTGTCCGGCGGAGGGGGTTGGACGGGATTTTTTTACACATCAACAATAAAAGTATTACCCAGTGTTTCCTACATATCAGTTCCTTCTGAGGCCAATGGAGGCGGCAGTATTTCTTTATGGTGTCTTTTAAAGATATATGTATCATTTGATTTAAAGTTTCTTCTTTTGCCTGTATCTAAAACAAAGTATAGGGTACATGTGGTCGTTATCCATTATGTCGACTTAGTGGTCCAAAATTATGTATCAATCAAACAATCAATCATGTCCTTTGCAGTCGATCGTCAACATCATTAATTAAGCAACAACATAAATGCATTCCCAGACCCTGCGATCCTCCATGGCGAGGGCAAGCTCATTTCTGTTCTGCAAGCCAGTGTCCTCAAGAAGAACCTGGCCCCCGTAACTCGTAAGCATCGGGCATTGCGACCGGGCGCAAGCGCCCGATTCCATATCTCGCCAATACTCGCCCCATATAATACATTGTAGCCTCTATGTGATATCGCTATTCGCAATACGCGATGCTTTTGAGTTACGTGGCCCTGTCACTCGCGGGATATTTTATAAGGCAATCTATTATACATATTAATCAGAGTGCCTACCATATTCACAGATATAGCTGTGACTCCCCCAATACGTATCAGTGCAGGGAAAGTCGTTCCACTGCCAAGACTTGTCGTATCTCATATAGGCACACTCCTCGGGGTCGTAATAGGAATTCCAAAACATTGAGGGTTCGTCTTGCGCCCAGTTCTCGTACGAGAGCTTGGTGTCTGAAAGGGTTGTGACGTACTAGGTAATACATGACGTCACAATAAGCAGTATATCCGAGTTCGGTATCTGAATCTCTATTATTATTATTATTATTATTATTATTATTATTATTATTACTACTACTACTACTACTACTACTACTACTACTACTAAATGTGTGGAGACGGTGTGATTTTTTAATAATCACCGTGTTGATTTTCGTGCTTAACAAATTAAGTCTAATTGGCCTCTACGTAGATCAAAAAATAAAAATATGTAAATATTATTATTTGTCACCATTATTATTAGTAGGCACTGTCATCTTTAATGCCACTTATCAAAGAAAAATGTTTATTCAGCACAGTCCATGACGAAGGGGTATACACCAAAGTTTATTATTATTTTTTATTATTATTTGGCCAAACAAAAGCCAATAAGACTTAATTTGCTAGCACGGCATGATAGGACGATAAGTTGCGAGAGTTCTACTCACTCGACTTGTGCCAAAACCAGGCCCCACCGGTGGAATCCGCATTAGTGGCCCTCTTGGCTCCTATCCAGATCCCGAGCTCCTGGTTCTGCCTGTACGCGATCAGGTTGACGTCCACAAAGTCCTGAACTTCTGCTGACGGTATTTCCAGCAGTCGACCTAATGTAAGAGTAATGAATTTTATAAGATTTTAAATAAGATTTTAAAACCGCTTTACACGCAGTAATTGTGATGAATGTGACAATTGTGTTAGATGTTGCAATTGAGCTAGATATGACAATTGTGTCAGATGTGACAATTGTGTCAGATGTGGCAATTGTGTTAGATGTGACAATTGTGGCAGATGTGACAAATGTGTTAGATGAACAAAAAAGGGAACAATGTAACAGTGTCTAAAATGTTTTCTCCTCATGAATTACGATAAGTCTTTGTTACCGTAGTCTGTATGGAAACCTCTCGAAAAGTGGTTGCACAATAAACAAAAGATGGCGTTAGTTTTGATATTCTTAATTGTTTACCACTGTGTTAGGTGAGACTATTAACGCATTTCATCTCACCCCCTTTAGCCTCGCAGCCAGCCACGGCATTGTACCAGTTGGTTTCCTTGTCCACAAATTCATAACAAAAGCCCCCGATCACCGTACCAACTGTCTCAGTGGCTCCGGCTGGACATGCGCTGGACACTAAACTCCATTGTCCTAAAAGGTAATTAACATATAAAAATAGCTAGACTGGCAACATATCTAAAACAAAGGTATTAAATGAGAATTCAATTATTCAATAAATTCAGTAAATTATTCAATGATATTAAAGCCATTGCAGATCAGGAGGGGAGTTTAGCAGGGGGAAGGGGATATATAGCGATACTTTAGCTCACTGCAC